CTCGAACGAAAATCTCCTCCACGAACGGGTCACTTGCATCAACAAAGGCGCACTCCTCTACATAGTTCGCCAAATGGCCAGATGTGGCCTCTCGGACAGAGATAGACACGGACTCGCCTAGGACCGTCATGTTCAAGGTCCCGTTCTTGACATCAATGAGGGTATTGGTGGTGTCCATAAACGGCCTGCCGAGAAGAATAGTATGATCCTTCCCGTTGTCGTGAACGTCCCCCACATCCAGTACCACAAAGTCTACCGGGACAATGAGTCTCCCGACACGAACAAGGACATCCTCAACTACCCCCTTGGGGTATCTGATTGAACGATCTGCGAGCTGAAGACACATGCGAGTGGGTCTCAAATCTCCTAAACCGAGCCACTGGAAGATAGAAAACGGCATGAGGTTGATTCCCGCTTCGAGGTCGAGCATCCCGGAAGCCTCTTTTCCATTCCCAAGAGCAATCTTTATCACGAAACCTCCGGGGTCTCGTTCTTTCTTGGGAAGATCATGTTGCATGGCACTAGCCGCCTCATAGACCACTACTTTCTCCCCATCCCCCAACTTCCTCTTCTTGGTGACCAAATCCTTGAAAAACTTCACATATGGCGGCATGTTCTTGATCACATCTAAAAGGGGCAAGTTCACGTTGACCTTCGAAAGCATGTTGTAGAGGTCCTGGAATTGCTGCTCCTGCTTCTCGTCTCGGAGTCTACTCGAAAAAGGCGTGGCTTATAAGGGTTTGGAGACTTGTGAAGAAAAAGGACTTTCTGTTGGTTTTCCCGAGTTGGTTTATGTGCTCTTCGTACTCTCCTCGGTTTCTTTGGGCTGGTCGGTTGGTTTTGGGACATCAGGCTCGGGCATTCTCACTTTGTTGTCCACTTCCTTACCGCTCCTCAACATAGTTATTGCTTTGGCTTGCTCGGGCTGGCTCGGAAGTTTTCCTTTGTCGGACTCAGCCTCCATGTTCCCGACTCTCGTGGCAAGTTGGCCCACTTGCCTCTCAAGACGCTTAATCGATGAATCTTAGTTCGTGATGAACTAGAGGATCTTGTTCAGCTTGTCATCTTGGTTCGACGAGCTCGATCTGGATCCTTGGGGATGTTGTTGTGGTTGCTGCTGTTGTTGGTAGTTCGGACGGGGTATGAAGTTGGGGCGGGATTGCTGCTGCATGATGTTGGGTCGAGGCTGTTGTTGGTTGAAGTTTGGACGAGGTGGCTGGAGAGTGTTGTTGTTGTTGGAACATGAGAAATGTGGGTGATTATTCCACCCGGGATTGTACGTGTTGGAGTAGGGGTCATTGGGCTGCCGGTTCTGGTAACCTTGGAGGGCATTGACGTCTGCATATTGTTCTCGTACCTCCTGGTCAAACGCCGATGGGCACACCTCGTATCTATGCCCCTGAACTCCACATGCTCCGCATGTGTCTACTGCCATGGTGTGCACTGACTGGCCTCCTCGTGCATTCATTAGCCGCATTTGCTCTGTGAGTTCGGCTATTTGATGGGCCATCATATCTTGAGCAGAAGATACCTCGTTGACCACGACCCTCTTCCCTCGATTGCTCTTTTGAGACGAGTTAGCACTCATCGTCTAAAAAATCTCATACATCTCTTCCGCCATCTTTGCACCAATGTCTCCCCCCGCAGCATTATCAACCATATATTGCAAATTTTTATTGAGGGATTCGTAGAAGCAATTCATCAAAAGTCCCGGCGAAAGATTGTGATGAGGGCACTGCCGCTGGAGATCTTTGAATCGCTCCCAAGCCTCGTGAAGAGGCTCACTTGATAGTTGGGCAAAACGAGACAATCTGTGACCGGAGCTCTTGAGTCTTCTGATGGGAGTAGTACCTCCCAATGAACTTCGTATAGACTTGGTCCAGGTAGTCAGAGATGCCGGTGCAAGTGTCATGAACCAGGCTTTGGCCCGGTCTTTCAATGTCTCAGGGAAGCACCTCATCTTCAATTAATCTTCGTTCAGCCCGTTGAGAGGAAAAGTGTTAAGCACATTGTAGAACTCCCGGATGAAGTTAAGTGGATCTTCACTCGGGAGCCCATGGAATGCCGACAGCTAGTTGTAGTGAATCATCTTCAACTCATAATTCTGTGCGGGGTCTGGTAAACGGATACACGAAGTGACTGGCCCGATGACCGGCTGGGCCAAGGTACGAAGGGTGTTACGAGGCGGTTGTTGCTGTTGTTCACCCATGTCGACGTTGCTGCCTTCTGACGATTTTGTAGTCTTTTTCTTTGGATTCCAGTGTAAGCTCGTCTAGCAGCTCTCTCAGGCTCTCGCTGACTGACTTGTTGATTGGAGATAACAATTTGCGTCCACTCCTGGTACGCATACACTAAACCAACAAGGGTTACGAGCACCAATGATAAAAACAAAATAAAACAAGGACTAACACCTAACAAGTAAAAAGAAACAAAAGAAACACTGAAAACAAAATGAATAGGCGCACAAAATAAGTCCTAAACCCTCCCCGGCAACGACGCCAATTTGTTGTAAATATTTTTACCGGAGTAGAATCGAAAGATTCGACACCGGGTCGTATCGCAAGGAAGGTTAGCTGGATTATTTGTACGGATATTCAATCACACGAAATGATAAAAGAAAGTCCTAAACACTCTAATTCAAGATTGAGGGTTTAATTTAACAACTACTAATTAGAAAGCAAGTAATTATGAAAGCAATATAATCAATTTCAAAATCACAACTCAAACACAATTTCCAATAGTTTAAAGGGACTAGGGTATCGGGGACAATCGTTTCCGGTTCTCAATGCATTCAGCAGGAATCAATTACTCGACTAACAGAGTTAAAGACCAATTCATCTAGAGATTCATCCTCAATATCTCACGAAACAAGAGAATAAACATAAACGAACAATCATCAAGTCAATTAGCACATAGGCAATACGTCTCCGAACAAGCCTACTCTAAACGAGCCGAGGTCGATCGATTTCACCCCTTTCAGTTCTAAAATCGATTAAATGAATTAGGATGGTGATCAATCATCTAACCCTAGGTTTAACATAACTCGAATAGATAGAGCAATCAACATTCTCAAAAACGAAATTGTACGGGAACAATCATCCCTTAACCCTAGTTATCGAATTTAGCTACTCATCGCAATCTCAACACGAAGATTCATAATCAAACAAGCCATCACATTCATATATGAAATGAAAGGAAAAGCTTACAATTATTATCAAATCCAATGTCAAACAAAACAACGAGAAATCCAAAATACAAAGCTAGAAACGAGTTCTTCAATCCCAAAATCAAATCCCAGATGAAAGATTATGAAAAAGTAATGTTCTAAGGTGAAAGATGTGAAAAACGAAGTCTGAATGCTGAAATTTTTCGCCCCCAATCGATATAATCCCCTTTCCCTTTCAAAAACCATGAAATCCTCGATAGCCATAAAACAGACCTTAGCGGCGCTAAGACAGCGCTAAGGTCTTAGCGCCGCTAAGGCAGGTTAGCTGCCCGCGTCTGTCCGTGAGAAATTTCAAAGCGCTGCTATTACTGGGGCCTTAGCGACGCTAAGGCCTTAGCGACGCTAAGGTCCCGTTGGTCCAAATTCTTCCCTTTTTTTCTATAGCTTGCGTGCTCGGCTACGTCGCTCGGGTACTGCCCGAGCTGATGTTTGAGACCCGCAACATATTGCTCGACTCATCCACTTCTCATCATGTTTGGACACTCGCCGGCCCGATCATCCAACAACCTGAAATCGCACCACCGAAAAAACACGAAAAGCAGAGAAAATAGAAAAGAAAACACAGCAAAAACCTAAACACATCAAAATAACAATAAAATGCAAGAAACGACAAAAGAGGCTGGAAAAACCTAAGGAAAGACCTAAAACGGGGGAAACGACACACAAAATATCAAAGAAAATAGCAACAAAAACGGACAAACAAGAGCCTCATTGAAGACATGGAAGTCATGAAAGTTTAATCCTCCAGCAGCCTTAGGCAATGTTAGAAGGGACTTCCAATGGATGCCAGAGTTAGTCTTGTTCTGAAAGGACCACCAGAAGTTTGCAAAGAGCTTGGCCAAATCTTTACAGAGTCCCAAAGGCAACAAAAAGCATGACATAAAGAAAACTGGGAGGGCACTGAGAATAGAGTTTATAAGGACTTCATTTCCAGCTCCTGAAAGAAATTTGTTCTTCCAATTCAACAGCTTCTTCTTGACAACTTTAATCACAAAGTTAAATGCTTCCACTTATGATCTTCCAAGGCCCAAAGGAAAACCAAAATATCTAGAGGAAATGTGCATTCTGATGCCTTGGAGAGCCTGACAGATATCCCTTTGAGCAGCTGGTGGTGTATTTTTGCTGAAAAACACTGAGGATTTCATTAGGTTAACCTGTTGACCTGTAAAACACTTGTATTTCTCCAGCATGTCCACTATGAGATTAGCATAACTCAACGAAACTTGGCAGAAGATGAGTGAGTCATCAGCGAAAAACAGGTGGCTGAGTGTGGGTCCTTGTCTTAAGAGTTTCAGGCCTTTAAATGAACCATGGACGATTTCATGTTGGATTAAGCATGATAGACATTCAGAAACAAAAAGGAATAAAGAGGAATAAGTAAGGAGATATTAGATCCCCTTGTCTTATTCCCAGAAATTCTATGGTGCCACATGTGACACCTGTTATGGTGCCACAACATGATGTGGCACATTATGATTGGTGCCACAACATGATGTGTGATAGTTGTGGCACCAATCATAATGTGCCACATCATGTTGTGACACCATAATATGGTGCCACACGTGGCACCATAGATTTTCTGGTCTTATTCCTCTAGTAACATTTAGTTACTTTGTTGGTTTTTGTACTTTGGTATTGAGTTATATTCAAGTGTGTAAAAAAAAAAAAAGAGAAAAAAAGAAAAATACATACGCCAGCAAATTAACGCACTCATCCACATCATGTAGAATAGCGTACTTGCCGATCACCGACCCGATCCAACGACCTCGCTGTAATGGCGATTTGTAGCTCGCTGTGCCCCTTCCCCACTCCTCCCTCTTCCCCTCGGAAGCCCCATCTCTGTAACCCTACATCGCCACATCTCACCAGAGTTCTGTCCAAAAATGGCGGGCACTTGACTGCTGGCGTGGACCTGCCGCCGGACTACGAGAGTTGGCTCCCGAAACGCGACCTCAGAAACCGCCGGCGGGCAGGGATTCTCCTCCATCCGACGTCCTTCCCTGGGCCCTATGGCGTCGGCGATCTTGGTCCCCAGGCCTATCGGTTTCTCGACTGGCTTCATGACGCCGGCTGCTCCCTTTGGCAGGTTCGATCCTTGGGTTAATCAAGTGTCTTTGTTGTACGCTTTGAACTTTGTGATCTCCGGAGTCTGTGTGCTACTTGTTGTGGGAATGATTCTCGTATGCAATTTTTCCCTTTATGTTTGCTTTCTCTTTGATTGATCACTTAGTTAATCGCTCTGTGAAGCTTTTCTGTGTCTAGTGTGCTTACATTGCACCCCATACTTAATCTCTGTTGGATTTCATGTCTTTGCGGCACCTTTACTGAATTTCAGGTCGCGCTGAAGCATATCAGTTGGACAGATTAGTTGGTTGCCAAAGTAGAACCTTTAATGTACTTTAAATTATATCCATTTTTACCACCATAAGTTATACGACACCATGGAGTTTAAGCAGTTAATTAACTTGAAGGAGCTCAAGTGTCCTGTGGAGTGTATTTATACATCATCAGTTTTATTAGTTTATGTTAAAAGAATTGATGTTTTTGCAGGTTCTTCCTCTTGTTCCTCCTGGGAGGAGGGCTGGTGAGGAGGGATCTCCCTACTCTGGACAGGTTGCTTTATTCTTTTCACATCAATTTTGTAGTTAGTTTGTGCCCGTTAGAATATTTGATTGAAATATATTTGAACTTTAAGGGGAAATGGTAAATAAGAAAGACTACCAGTGAGAAAATTTAGATAGAACGTTAATTTGTATTGGTGGTTGCACTATTTCAGGATGCTAATTGTGGAAATACACTTTTGATTTCTCTCGAGGAACTTGTTGAAGACGGTCTGCTTTCTACGGAAGAGCTTCCAAATCCAATGTAAGGAAACAGGCTGTGTTTGAGTGCATTACAGAGCGTGAAAGGCAATGTGAAATTCATGCTTATAATATCATAATGCCATAATGCTTGCAGAGACATGGACCGCGTAAATTTCACAGCTGTTGCAGATGTCAAGGATCCATTGATAGCTGAGGCAAGTATCATCATCATCATCATCATCATCATCATCATCATCATCATCATCATCATCATCATTCAGTTACTAATATGTGAAGATTCTTAGAATTATTTCTCTATGCTTATCCATTAACAATTCAAGTGATAATTCATGTTAACGTACGCCTGAAAGTTGATGTATCCTTTCATGACATTCTGTAATATATATGATTCTAATGAAAAATGACCAAATAATTGAATGGAATCAACAATGTCGGATCTTGACCAGAAACATCTAATAAGTACGCCAATTGTTCGTATGCAAAGGAATTAACAGAGTTTACTGTATTTGTTGTACAATTGGGCTTCTTATTCACATAATATGTAAAATTATCTTACCTTTTCTTTTGTAGACAACTCCTTCAGAAATTTATTAAGTTTTAGGTATGATAAATACTCTTACAGTAATGATTACATTCTGAGGACAAAAATGATTGGGTTATGCTTCACGTGTTGTGGGTAATACAGATTTGAATCATGACAAGTGCAAGATTCAAACTGCCATTTTAACTTTTTCTGTTAAGTATTTGAATAACTGATGCTTTGACCATGTTGTAAGAGAACTTCTTTCGATTGTTGGTCTAGGCTGCAAAAAGGCTTATTCTAAGTAAGGGTGAGCTCAAGGATCAGCTTCAAGCGTTCCGTAAGAATCCAAATATTGCAGGTGAGATGTTTATGTTTCTTTTCCTAACTAGTATACTGATCCTATAAACTTATGAACAGAATCTCTTCAAGAGGTTCTCAATGGTAAATGACTAGGTTGTAAATGGCCTGATTACTGTATTTATTTGCCTAAGGTTTCAATTTATTCGTTCAAATATTCTATATGACCTGGTTCATTCAACAATAGATTTTTCATGATCGTGCTACTCTGTCGCTTGAAGACGAATATTCTTAATGCACCTTACATAAGTTTGTTTAGGGCCACAAATGTTATTACATTTATATTTTTAAATGTATATTCATAAAGAAGTTCCTCCTGAAAGTCATTGTCATAAATTAATATAGCAAAACTGTAAAATGCCAAAATTTAATTTTTAGTAAATGGCAACGAAACAGTCACTTAGTGGGCTAAATCAAATTTAAAGCAGTAAAGCACACTTGAAGAGAACTGAAACGAAGCATAAAATTTTAGTTAGTGTATAATTTGACAAGCGGAAAGCAAATGGGGACATAATGCACATATAAACATAATATAATATTCATTCACATAAAACACATGCAGCAGTTTCAGATAGATCTTTTGACAGGGTGTTCCCGGCTTTATGCTGATTGTTTCCATGCAGAAAGCTGCAGTTCTAGTCTTTTCCTTTGACATAGCAAGGAACCATGCTATACAATTGCATTTAAACATTATGTATAGGCTAACATGGGGACAAATATTTAAGAAGTAGAATCACAACCTTGTAATGCATGAGTGGTAATATTATTATTTGGTGACGTAACAAATAATAATATTAAATTTAAGGACCTAAATAGCAAATAATTTGGGTCAAAATAATTAATGGGTGGCGTTCTCAGAAGCCGTGAAAATAAAGTGATGCCCATTAGGATAACCCATAAGGAATTAAAAGAAAAGGTAGTTGTCGACAAAGTGTGGCATTAAGTGTGTACATTAGGTGGGACATTAATTGCTCATCAATATAAAAGGGGGGTTGGGGGGGGGTTGGGGGTTATCAATTTCTTCAATATAAGTTTTCTTTCCTTTCATACATCCGAGAGGAAGAAAAGGAAGAAGAAAATAAGGATCACGGTCTTTTGGAAGATATCTAAATCCCAAATCCAATCAATCAATATGAATTCATCAGGTACGCTTCTGCTATTCGGTTATGATTCTCGATTATTTAATATGAACGCTATTGGGATTTATAGATTTAATCCGAATAAAGTTAAATCCAATTCTATCATTGGTATCAGAGTCTCTTCAAATTGTATATTAGGGAATCAATTTATATTGGGATCCATGAAATCCAGTTTTGATGCTGTGAAATTATTCATGTGCGAATTGATTAAAGGAATTTGATGAGCCATGGATTATTTTTTTTTTTTTTCAATCCATCATAACCAATTTAAATATTTGAGTGGATTGAATTATGAATCAATTCCATCATGTCATCAATTTTTTTAATCAATATGTTGATATGTAAATTATGGGCTCAGTAATTGAATTATTTGTTTGGATAATTAAAGTGTTCTGTTTGATACATTATTTGAAATTGTTCAACTTATTGATTTGAGTTGATTACATTCAACCATCAGACATTATTCATTTGCTGCGAGCCTAAGAAAAGAAATTGAAGTGCTATTATGAAATAAGCATGAATATTTTATGTGTATTCAGTATTTTCGGGTCTAAGGACCTGATTAAAGTTCGATTGTTGGTATTAAGTTAATTGTTCGACATTTCGTTGATCATTTAAATGGATTGATTGAAACAAAATGTTACCAAAGTGACTTCTTTTGTGTAGATTAATTCGTTTACATACTAAAGATTATTGTAATTCATGCGTGTGTTGATTAACCTAAAGGTGAACTGACACATGGCCGAATTACAAACATACTTGTGATAATACATTTGTGACAATTATAATGTTTTCATGTGAACAATAATTCTATCCAAAGATAGTATTATTGTTTGACAGAAATCATTGTCAGGATTTGATTATTACAACAAGAGTACCGCTTACAATTAATATTACTATCCAAAATTTGATATTAATGTTGTGATTGGTATCTTGCTATGGGTTTAAACCATATTTGGTTTAAATGATTCACTATGGATACTAATGTGAGTATCTCTGTTTATTATTTTCATCAGGTTTTTCATCTATGGTATCTACCAACTATCTTGTCCCCACTTTATCTGGGGACAACTTTAAGAACTGGAAAGAATCAATTTTGATTCTTCTAGGCTGTATGGATCTAGACTTGGCATTAAGGTTAAACCACCCTGCTTTTCTTACGGAGAACACCACTACTGATGAAAAACACTGCTATCAGAAGAGGGAAGGTCTAATCGCCCAAGTCTTATGATCATAAAGAAAAGCATTCCAGAAATTTTTCGGGGAACGATATCTCATGATATCACTCTAGCTAAAGAGTTCTTTGTCGAGATTGAAAAGCGCTTTAACAAAAGTGATAAGGCGGAAATAAGTACTCTTTTAAAGAATCTTATTACCATTAGGAATCTCATCAAAGGCAGCATAAGGGAGTACATCCTCAAGATGTCCAATATTGCTTCTATGTTGAGGGCACTAAAGTTAGACCTTTCGGAGGACATGCTTGTCTTATTGGTTTTGCTCTCCCTTCCTTCTCAATACGATCAGTTTAAGGTCAGTTACAACTGCCAAAAGAAGAAGTGGACTCTTAATGAGCTCATTTTTCTTACTGTGTTGAGGAAGAAGAAAGAATGAAGCAAAATAGGGCTGAGGAGGTATATATGATTGGTACCTCGAAAGATGCTGGCGGCTTTAAATGAAAGCATAAGACTGTTAAGGTTGAGACTGCTAAGAGTTCAGCTCCAAAGTGTAATTCGGTGGAGATTTCATGCTTCTTTTGCAAGAAATCTGGACATCTAAAAAAAGATTGTGCTAAGTACTCCGCCTGGCGCGTGAAGAAAGGTACATTCTTTAATCTGATTTGTTTTGAAGTTAATTTAGCTTCAGTACCTCGAAACACTTGGTGGTTAGACTCTTGGTCAACTACTAACATCAGTGTTTCAATGCAGGGTTGCCTGAGCCGAAAACCAACTGATGCTGAAAGACACATTTACTTTGCAAATGGTGAATCGGTGGATGTGGAAGCCGTGGGCATATTTAAGTTATTATTAAGTACTGGACATTGAAAGACACTTTTGTTATACTGTCTTGCAGGCGAAATTTGGTTTCTGTTTCTTATTTGGATAAACCTGGTCATTATTGTTCATTTGGAACAATATGGTTGTGTTGTTTTTTAATTCTAATATGGTTGGTTTTGATACTTTTATGGAAAATGATAGATTATAAATGTTCAACACTATAACTTCCTATAACGAAACCCTGAATGTGGAATCAAAAGTTACTAAGCGAAAATTAGATGAATCAAGTGTGCTATGACATAAACGTTTGGGACATATTTCGAGAAATAGAATTGAAGACTCATTGAGGATGAAATTCTTGATTCTATTAATTTCTCGGATTTTGATGTTTGTGTCAATTGCATTAAAGGTAAACAAACCAAAGTAAAGAGCATATGTGCTTATCGAGCTACGGAAGTCTTAGAGTTGATACATACGGATATTTGTTGGCCTTTTCCTACACCTTCGTGGAATGGTCTACAATACTCTTTTTTGTATCATTCATAGGCGATTATTTTCGATATTGTTATCTATACCTTATATGGGAAAAATTTGATGTCTTGGACATGTTTAAAGATTTAAGGATGACGTTGAAAATCAATTCAGTAAACGCATTAAGGTCGTCAAATCTGCCCGTGGAGGTGAAAATTACGGCAGAAATGATAGATCTGGTGAACAACGTCCAGGCCTATTTGCTGACATCTTTAAGGAGTGTTGAATAATTCCTCAGTACACTAAGCCAGGTTCGCCTAGCATGAATGGAGTTGCTGAGAGACAAATTCGCACATTAAAGGAGATGGTTTGAAGTATGATTTGCCAATCTACTTTACCACGATCCTTGTGGGGGAAGCACTAAAGATTGTTGTCTACAATCCTAAATCGAGTACCAACTAAGGCGACTGATAAAACACCCTATGAAATTTGGACTGGGCGTAAGCCTAGCTTATGGCATTTTAGGGTGTGAGATTGTCTAGCTGAGCCGAGGCCTTATAGGCCAAATGAACCAAAGCTAGCTCCTCGTACGGTGAGCTGTCATTTTATTGGTTACTCGTAACGGTTGAAGGGTATAAATTTTATGATCCCACATCAAGAAATATTTTTTAGACGGGCACTGCCACGCTTTTTGAGGGTGTTGAGTTTGGGGAGAGAAATACAGTTTCGGACGTTACTTTTGAGATCAAGAAATCACCAAAGTGGTTAACCCGATCCCTCAAGAGGAATTAGTTATTCCAGCTCCCATACAGTTTCAATATACAATTGAGGAGTCTGTTCATTTTAAACCTGAACCTCAACATGTACATATAGAAAAAACTCTACAAACCCAAGAACATACAGTTCAAGAGCCAACGTTTTTGCAGAAATCCACTAGAGAACGTAGAAATGCCATTCTTGATTATTATTTGGTATTTCTCCAAGAAAATGAGGATGTGGGTGGCTTGAATGAGGATGACCGATCAACCTCATACAAGTCATGAAGGATCCCAATTCAAATAAATATATCGAAGCAATGCGTGAAAAGTATAAGTCAATGCAAGATAATGAGGTTTGAGAACTTGTCCCATTGCCAGAAAGTGCAAAACCCATTGGTTGTAAATGGATTTTTAAGACCTTTAGCCACAAGACGAGCTTTATACATCTCCGCATTACCATTTGCATCCCGTTTGGCCTTAATAATTCATTTACAACTAACGGGTTTTGCACCTTCTGGCAATGAGACAAGTTCCCAAACCTTATTGTCTTGCATTGACTTACACTTTTCACGCATTTTTTCGATCCTATTATTTGAGTTGGGATCTTTAATGACTTGTTAGAGGTTGATCGAGTAATCCTTATTCAAGTCACCCACATCCTCATTTTCTTGAAGAAATACCAAATGATCTGGAATGACATTTCTACGTTTTCTAGTGGAAGTCCGCGAAAGCGTTGGCTCTTGAACTGTATGTTCTAGAGTTTGTTGAGTTTGATCTATATATACATGTTGAGGTTCAGGCTCAAAATGAACAGGCTCCTCAATTGTATCTTGAAATTGTATGGGAGCTGGAATGACTATTTCTCTTGAGGGATCGGGTCAACCACTTTGGTGATTTTCTTGATCCTCAAAAGTATAGTCCGAAACTGTATTTTCCCCCCCTCCCCAATCTCAACATCCTCAAAGAATGTGGCAGTGCCCGTCTAAAAATTATTTCTTGATGTGGGATCATAAAATTTATACCCATTCGACCGATTCGAGTAACCAATAAAATGACGGCTCACCGTACGAGGAGCTAGCTTTGGTTCATTTGGCCTATAAGGCCTCGGCTCAGCGGACAACCCCACACCCTAAAATCCCGTAAGCTAGGCTTATGCCCAGTCCAAAGTTCATATGGTGTTTTAGCAGTCGCCTTAGTTGGTACTCGATTTAGGATGTAGACTGCAGTCTTTAGTGCTTCCCCCACAAGGATCGTGGTAAAGTAGATTGACAAATCATACTACGAACCATATCCTTTAATGTGCGATTTCGTCTCTCAGCATCTCCATTCATGCTAGGCGAACCTGGCATAGTGTACTGAGAAACTATTCCACACTACTTAAAGAAGTCAGCAGCAAATGGGCTTGGACGTTCACCAGATCCATCATTTCTGCCGTAATTTTCACCTCCACGGTCAGATTTGCCGACCTTAATGCGTTTGTTGAGTTGATTTTCAACTTCAGCCTTTAATGCTTTGGACATATCCAAGGTCTCAGATTTTTCCCATATGATGTATAGATAACAATATCGAGAATAATCGTCTACGAATGATACAAAGTATTGTTGACCATTCCACGAAGGTGTAGGAAAAGACCCACAAATATCCGTATGTATCAACTCTAAGACTTTCGTAGCTCGATAAGCATCTATGCTCTTTATTTGGTTTGTTTATTTTTTAATGCAATTGACATAAACATCAAAATCCCAGAAATTAATAGAATCAAGAAATTCCACCCTCAATGAGTTTCAATTCTATTTCTCAAAATATGTCCCAAACTTTTATGTCATAACACACTTGATTCATCTAATTTTCGCTTAGTACCTTTTGATTCCACATTCAAGATTTCGTCATAGGAAGTTATCGTGTTGAACATTTATAATCTATCATTTTCCATAAAAGTACCAAAACCAACCATATTAGAATTCAAAGACAACAAAACAACCTTATTGTTTTTAAATGAACAATAATAACCAGATTTGTCCAAATAAGAAACAAAAACCAAATTTCGTCTAAAAGACGGTATAACAAAAGTGTCTTTCAATTCCACAAAATGTCCAATACTTAATAATAATTTAAATATGTCCATAGCTTCCACATCCATCGATTCACCATTTCCAAAGTAAAAGCGTCTTTCAACATTAGTTGGTTTTCGGTGGCTCAGGTAACCCTGCATTGAAACACTGATGTTAGTAGTTGAACCAGAGTCTTAACCACTAATTGTTTCGAGATACTGAAGCTAAATTAACTTCATAACAAACCAGAATAAAGAATGTACCTTTCTTCACGCGCTAGGCGGAGTACTTAGCACAATCTTTCTTTAGATGTCCAGATTTCTTGCAAAAGAAGCATGAAATCGCCGGATTACCCTTTGGAGCTGGACCCTTAGCAGTCTCAACCTTAACGGCCTTATGCTTTCTTTTAAAGCCACCAACATCTTTCGAGGTACCAATTATATGTACCTCCTCATCCATATTTTGCTTCATTCTTTGTTCTTCCTCAACACAGTGAGAAATGAACTCATGAATAGTCAACTTCTCATTTTTGGCAGTTGTAACTGACCTTAAACTAATCGTATTGAGAAGGAAGAGAGAGCAAGACCAATAAGACAAGCATATCCCCCGAAAGGTCTAACTTTAGTGGCCTCGACTTAGAAGCAATATTGGACAACTTGAGGATGTACTCCCTTATGTTGCCTTTGCCGAGATACCTCATGGTAATGAGATTCTTTAAAAGAGTACTCATTTCCGCCTTATCACTTTTTTTAAGCGCTTTTCAATCTCGACAAGGAACTCTTTAGCTAGAGTGATATCATCTGATCTCGTTCCCCGAAAGATTTCTGGAATGTTTTTCTTTATGATCATAAGACTTAGGCGATTAGACATTTTTCACTTCTCAAAGCACTGTTTTTCCTCAGTAGTGCTGTTTTCCGTAAGAGAAGCAGGTTGATCTATCATTAATGCCAAGTCTAGATCTATACCGCCCAAATGAATTAAAATTGATTTTTTTCAGTTCTTAAAGTTGTCCCTGGGGACATGATAGCTGGTAGATACCATAGATGAAGAACTTGATGAAAATAATAAACAGAGATACTCACATTATTATCCATAGTTAATCATTTAAACCAAATATGATTTAAACCCATAGCAAGATCGAATCGCAATATTAATATCAGATTTTTGGATAATAATATTAATTGTAAGCGGTACTCTTGTTGTAATAATTAAATCTTGACAATAAATTCTGTCAAACAATAAAACTATTTTTGGAGGTATGTTTGTAATTAGGTCATGTGTCAGTTCACCTTTGGGTTAATCAACACACGCATGAATTACAAAAATACAATAATATTTAGTATTTAAATGAATCAGTCTACACAAAAGAGGTCACTTTGGTAACATTTTGTTTCAATCAATCTATTTACATGATCGACGAAATGTCGAACAATTAACTTAATACCGGCAATCGAACTTTAATCAGGTCCTTAGACCAGAAAATATTGAATACACATAAAATATTTATGCTTATTTCATAATAGCACTTCAATTTCTTTTCTTAGGCTTGCAGTCTTAGGCTTGCAACAAATGAATAATGTCTGATGGTTGAATGTAATCAACTCAAATCAATAAGTTGAACAATTTCAAATAATGTATCAAACAAAACACTTTAATTATCCAAACAAATAATTTAATTACTGGGTCCATAATTTTCATATCAACATATTGATTAAAAAAAAATGATGACCTGATGGAATTGATTCCTAATTCAATCCACTCAAATATTTAAATTGGTTATGATGGATTTAGAAAAAAACCGTGGCTCATCAAATCCCTTTATCTATAAATCACAAGAGCGTTCATATTGAATAATCGAGAATCATAACCGAATAGCGAAAGCTTACCTGATGAATTCATGTTGATTGATTGGACTTGGGATTTGGAAGTCTTCCAAAAGACCGTGATACTTATTTTCTTCTTCATTTTCTTCCTTTCGGACGTATGAAAGGAAAGAAAACTTGTATTGAAGAAATTGATAACCCCCAACCCTTCTTTTATATTGATGAGCAATCAATGCCCCACCTAATGTACACTCTTAATTTACACTTAATGCCACACTTTGTCGGCAACTACTTTTTTTTTTTTTTTAATTCCATGGGTTACCCTAATTGGCATCAATTTATTTTCACGGATTTTGGGGACTCCACCCATTAATTATTTTGACCCAAATTATTTGCTATTTAGGTCCTTAAGTTTAATAAATATTATTTGTTACGTTACCAAATAATAATATTATTGGGTGTCCACATTTAATTATTGCACAATCTAAATTAAGTTCCTTAGAAATGAAAATTTAACTATGTTACAGATTACTTAATAATATTATTTGATCATATGGAAGAAAATAAAGGCCTTATAGGACTAGGTTTCACATTGGGACATGAAATCTGAAATAGGTTTTTGTGGAGTCAAAATTTGGGTCAAAATTTACTTATCCCTTTTGTTTTCTTTCTTCTCCTCTCTTTCTGGACATATGACCTTCTGCCTCCGCTCCTGCCTCCACTTTCTCTTCTTTTATTGTATTTTACACTTCTGGACTCTTCCCACATTTCTGTTTGAACACTTGTTAAAACTAGCCCCAACCACGCAGTTGTATGTAAACTTCAAGAAAAACCCTTTTCACACTTATACTATTTAATGAATTTAGTTGGAAGTACTCCTTTTGTTCTGTCAGCATAAACACATGATGCTTAGGACGTAACCGTTAGCAAATGTAGTGTTTTGCAGTTCATGTAAGAAAGCCTATCCAGTGCTATAAACTATAAACTCCATTATATAGGTTGGCTTGAAGATGCAGCTTATTTTGCTGCCATTGATGACACGCTGAATGCATTTAGTTGGTATGAATGGCCTGAACCTTTGAAAAATTGCCATCTTGCTGCTCTGGAAGAAATTTATCATAGCAAAAAGGAATTTGTAAGATCTATCAACCCTTTTCCCTGTTTCTAGACTTACTCTCCGACCTTCTTTTAAACTTGGATTCTGGAAGATCTTGTGAGTGTAAAATTACTTTCATCCCGCAGATAGATGTTTTCATCGCTCAGCAATTCTTGTTCCAAAGGCAATGGCAGAAAGTTCGTGATTATGCTCGAACAAAGGGAATCAGTATAATGGGAGATATGCCTATTTATGTTGGCTATCACTCTGCTGATGTGTGGGCTAATAAGAAACAGTTTCTGCTGGTGGGTTTCTTCCAATTATCAAATGCTTCTTTTGTTTATAGTTTTACCCAGTTCACTATTCATTGATGTTGCAGAATAGTAGCGGTTTTCCTCATCTAGTTAGTGGAGTCCCTCCCGATGCCTTCAGTGAAACTGGGCAGCTGTGGAACAGGTTAATTTTGTTGTAGTGATTATTCACGTATGATTAATCATCCCTTCAGTGCTTTATTCTCATGTATTGCTATTAAATCAAATGAACTGAACTTGTTTAAACGATGTGGAGAGAATGACAGACTTTTAAAGAAAATTTCCAACTTACAGCTATTTGGTTTTCTCAAACCAGCATCTTTACATGATTTGAGTATCGGAATTTGGTTTTTTCGCTCTTATAAGCATTTATGTGGTATAATCTGATAGATAGCCACTCCAAGTTACACAAGTGAGTATGAGACAATCTTATGGATAATGCAAGTTATGATAGTGAAGCATACTGGGCAAAAAGTTGCATATATATTTGGGATGCAGAAATCCTGTGACTAGCATAGTAGATAATTATATCTGTCCAACTTTAAGTTTAAAGTTATTCTGATTGATTAGGTAAACATGAAAATAAATATTGTTTCACGTAGCCGATGCTGAAATATTATAACAAAATGTGAAGATCGTCTAGTAAGTTGTCTTGTTCCCTGTATGATATGTTGACTGAGCCTTTTGTTGCAAGAAAAGCCCATTATATGATTGGAAGGCCATGGAAAAAGATGGATTTTCTTGGTGGATTCGACGTTTAAAACGTGCACAAAATTTATTTGACGAATTCCGGATTGATCACTTTAGAGGATTCGCAGGATTTTGGGCCGTTCCTTCTGGTAAGATGACCGTGTTTTAGACATTCTTACATTCAATTTAATATCTTTTTTTTTTTATTCTCATATTTATTATATTATTTGGGAAACGATAATTTTTGTATGAATCTTATGTGCAGAAGCAAAAGTGGCAGTTGTAGGGCGATGGAAAGTAAGATTCATCATGTATAGTTTTTGGCTATAAATTGACAAACAATTTCCAGAGGATTACTAAATGATGTTTGATGGACAGTAGGTGGGGCCTGGAAAGTCTCTTTTTGATGCAATATTTAGAGCTGTTGGAGAGATCAATATCATAGCAGAAGATTTGGTACGTTCCGCTAGATAACATCGTCGGAAGTTTAGAGTTTGGAAGGGAAACATTTTTTAGCGATAATGTATAGTATGATAAGCCCTCCCATAAGTATTTTACTATATCCTCAACTTCATTCATAATTTTTCATTGCGTTTGACCTTTTATTTTTTTCCATCCTTTATTTTGTATTTTTTTTATTTTGCGTTTGTTCCCTGTTTGTGCTGGACCTATAAAGCAATGGAAATAGTCTTGAAATTTCTCATCTGTAATTTTTCGCCTCATGTAATGTATTATTTTATGAGGGCAATCTAGTCTTGACGTTTAATCAGGTGATCATCTCCTAATTTCTCACATTGTTTATACTGCTAAAACAGGGGGTAATAACAGAAGATGTGGTACAGCTTAGGAGGTCCATTGGGGCACCTGGGATGGCAGTTCTCCAGTTTGGTAATTCATTACTGCTTGTTTCGTTATCTTTCTCTTATATAAATATATGTTTTCCTTTTATGTGTGTCTGTGAGTAAGCGAGCTTCTGAGCGTCTACGAAGATTTCTCAATCTCTCTTCATTGCCGTTTTGGATTTTGTGCAGGCTTTGGAAGTGATGCCGAAAATCCACATTTGCCCCATAATCATGAGATGAATCAGGTGGTCTACACAGGAACTCATGACAATGACACGGTATTTCTTATGTGCTTTGACATCCTATGTTTATGTAGACACGTGTCAGTCCATCTACCCGACATCATTGCTGAAAGCGTGTCTGTGCTCACTTTTTTTTTTTCAGAAAAGAAAAAGGAAAATATTTCTAATATTATAGCAAATTGTCATTAGCTGCAGCCTGCATCATCATGATGTTAATATACTTTCGTGTTTGCCGGTTGGTGGTAGTGAATGCTAGTTTACCTATACTAACAATTTTGATGTCCTCAGATTCGAGGATGGTGGGACATATTGCCAAAGGAAGAGAAAGCTAACGTGAGTAATGATATAATCTATCTCTGACAGGAAGTTCTTGAAAGTGGGTAATACTGGAAGCCGAATTCTCTTCAGCACAAACCTTGTTCTCATATACTCGGATTTTCCGTTTCAGGTGGTAAAATATATTGGTAATATCAATGAGGATGATATATCGTGGGGCCTAATACAGGCTGCCCTTTCGTCAGTAGCACAAACCACTATAATCCCCATGCAGGATGTACTTGCATTGGGAAGTTCAGCTCGAATGAATGTCCCCGCAACTCAGGTAAGATAGGTTTGCATGCATTTGCATATATCGTAATGTCAAGCAATGTAGCCAGCTAATCTACTCGTACTAAAAAATTCTTTATAATTATATGTGCTATAAAAATGGAAAAAAAGAAAAACTTGGGATATTAGAAGCAATAGGGTGATCTCATACGTGATGCCGTCTTTACAGCTATATCATTTTCTCTTCCAATGTGAACTTTTGGGGATGCAAAGTGGGTTTAAGTCTAATTACATGACTTTTTGGGAGCCATGTGTTATAAAATGAGAACTCTGGGCATGAACATTTTTTTTGTTTAATGTAGCTAACTTACATGATTTCATTGTACGTTCATACAGTACGGAAACTGGAGCTGGAGAATACCCAAATCGACATCATTTGACGGCTTAACCTCTGAAGCAAAGAAACTAAGAGATATGCTTGCTATGTATGGCCGGCTATAAAAGTTTGGGACAACTAAGTGAATTCACTCAGATATTTACGATGCTGTTTGCCCTTAGGCCCGTCTAAAAACTCCAGTAACATACGAAACAATCAATGAATGGCATTCTTGTCCAATGGCGACCTAATAAGCTGTGAAAAATTAGTAATTTGATCAGAATCAACTTCTTCGATGCCTTTGTATGGAATAAGAAATGATTAATATAAATTTATTTGTATGTTATGTGTTTTCTAGAGCTACACAACGATGAATCTGTAGTAATCTGTTATTTGTATGTTATTTGTTTTCTGATACAAATTACTAATTTCCGATGTTATTTGTATGTTATGTGTTTTATGATCAAATTACTAATTTTTGTATGTTATGTGTTTTCTGATCAATTTACGGAGTCGTGTTGTATTCCTTTATTTTACAAGTTATAACTGTGACTCGTAGTTTTCCGATGTTATTCCTTTCTGGGCCTATAACCGGCCCGACCCGGCAGTTCAACAACAAAAAAAAAAAATTATAACTGTGACCCGTCGGAAAACTCGGGCGTGGCCCGGCTGGTCAGAAAGGAATACAACACGACTCGTAACCGGATCTTAAGGGATTACGTGTCGGTTCAAAAACCGGCTAGGGCAGGCCGGTTCTAGCCAGTCCGGGGCCGGTTCACGGTCCGGGCCAACGGTGGCCATGTCTATCTGTATGTTACAAAATTTTCAAAAAATTACAAAAAGGCGATATGTTAGATCTGTTAATGATCATTCAGCACCATGAAATTAGTTTCCTCTAGCTGCAATAATGTTAAATTCACTTTTTTGGAGAATAATAAAAGTTATAAAGTGTGGCTGCATATATCACTCTTTTTATATAAGAGATTTGCATGCATTGTTTTTAAATACAAAAGGAGTACCATTGTTTTTCTTACTGAATCTTTTTGTCGTGGCCTATTGTCAATTCATCTCGATTGTCTATGCGCCTAGTTTATATGTAAAATAATTTAATAAATAAATAAATAAATGTGGAGCTTCATTCATGTTAATGTTGACGTATTCAAATGGGGAGAGCTTCATTTCATGAAAAGTTTATTATATCTAAATTTTAATAACAAGTCATAAATATTTATTATATAAATATATAATAACAATTTTTTACTAGCTCTTTATGTTTTTTTTTTTTAAAATTAAATGTAAAATAAATGGTAGGTTGACCCTACCGGATCAATTCTCGGGTTGACTGGGTCATAGCTGGGCTGACTGTAAAGCGATCTCAACTACCAACTCGGCTAGGGTCCCGACTCCTAAATCGGGTCGAACCGAAGCACAACAATATGTTTTAGATTGAGCAATGAGGAAGTGATACAATGGAATTTGTTTAACATATTTAGGGATTTCATTTGGCTGAAATGAGGACATGATTATATTTGGAAGATAGAAAGCATTGAATTTGCGTTTTCCCATGGACTCTAATTAATTCGTATATCCAAGATTAATAATGTATTATCCTCTAGATATGAAATTCTAAATTTAAAATTTACAGTTTCAGTAGTAAGGGCATGCTTGGATATGGATTTAACTAGTTTTTGAATTTTTTTTACACTATGGTTAATTTTAAAAAAGGTGTCATGGTTAGTAGTTAGTGGGAATTTAAGTTCAATTACTTAAAATAAAATAGTTAAAGTTAATTTGATTTAAAAGCAGAAAAAAAATAATTGAAAACGATGATTAGTCAAAATTATGTGAGTGGACGAATAGTGAATTATAGTTGATGTAACGTGTAAGAATGATTGGTTGATATTATTTAATAATATTGAGGAAAATGGTGTTGAATAAAAATCGAGTTAAATTTGAGTTTTGATTGGTTTTCTCCTGTTGAGTTTGTAATATAAACAATCACACCCTAAACATTCATTCCTTGTGGCGTCATAAAGTCAAACACATGCTACTTGTTTCATTTGAATTTAAAAAGTCAAGTCTTCACTTGTGAGGAATGATACAATAAACTCAAGACTTCACTAAATTAATGAGAACAACACATATTTTTTATTTTTTTTTTATTTTTTTTATTTTTTAAAAAAAAGATAGACTCCTAGGATGGATATGATAAAATCTTAGGATTAATGGTGGGTTGGGAGATAGAGACAAAACCCATGTGGTCTTAGGGGAACCTGAGCTTCTACCACTTAAAGCCACACTAGCTAGATCACAACATGAATGCCTCTTAATCAATGCCACTAAAATGTTGATTAAAGAGTGTCATGTTGCTCTACCCCTTCATGAAAAAAAAAAAAAGGAAAATAACATTACCACAACACAAAATGGAAAGCTAGTGAAAATGTGAAGACATTGTTTTCTTGTTCCTACATCCATATAGCATTTGCCTTCATGAGCAATGGCTTGAGCTTACCCTTGACATTGAGGCTCATGATCTCATTAGACCCACCGATGAACTCTTGCCCTATGAACACGGCCGGCACACTCGGGTTGCAACCTAACCCCATCAATGCCTTCTCCATTTGTCGCCCGTAGGGCACGTTGTCGAGCTCGTAAACAACCGGGTTCGCCCCAAAACCACGTATTAGCATGACTATTGCGTACGACATGCAACAAGTGGTCTTGCTGAATACGACCACCGGATTTCCGGCCCCTAATTCCATCACGTACTTCTCCATTTCACAATATCCAAAGATATAAAAAGAATATAAGAAGCTTGTTTAAAAAAAAAAAATAAATAAAATGTATAAGTTAAAATGATACTTTGTAGTGTGTGGAGTGAAGTAGAAAATTGAGTTTTTTTAAAGCTCTATATATAGGGTGAAGAGAAAGATGCCCGAAAGTCACGCATGAATAGAATGTTGAAAACAAGAGAGTTTGATAATTAAAATTTTCACTTTTCATGACGTGTTGGTAGTGTTTTTCTTGATTATGAGATTTGAATATATTGAGGTACATACATTTTCAAAAGGTATCACTTTGGACACAAAGATCTTGGTTGTGATCATATGGTTATCACTAACTAACTAATTAAGAGCTTGAAAGTTTCAAAAGTAGTTAGTTAGTATATGTATTTCTTTGATGAGAATATCATGTGTCTTGGACTTAGTTTAATAATTAAAAAAATAAAAAGATAAAAGAAGAGTGTGTTAGTTAAACTAAATTATCAGAGTTTGTCTTGAACTTTTCCAACAAAAGAAACACAATGCATATTACAAATAATTAAGCGCATGCTTGTGAGTGTTAAGGTTGTCGTGTGGGATGCAATAACAAAGGATTCAATAACAAAATTATGTAATTAAAACTTAATAATTCATGATTATTTTTGGCCATATTTAACGAGGTTATAGATATTGCGTATGCTTGGAAGCTAGGTTATGTTTGTCGATCCCAAAGGTGAAATGTCAAAAAGAACACGAATAGTAGTAATAAGCATGTCCGAGTTGAAACGTATGCGAAGAGTATAAAAGAGTACGCGAAGTATACTCGAACAAAATTGTTTGAACTGTTTTAATCCATGGAACATATTTTTCCTTATAGGATCCTAACTATTCTTTTAGAGGATTATTCATAAGTTCATAAAGAAATCACATTTGTGCTATAATTCATGCAAAAATTACTCCGTATCAATAGTCAAGATGATGACGATAAAATATATAAAAAGTACAATACTACAAAATTAATCAGATAAAAAATTCACACCACGTCACTTTACTAATTATTAAAAAAAAAGATATTTTGAGAAAAAAAGTGTGACAAATAATAAATACTTTTTTTTTCCTTCCTTCTTGACAGTGACTTCTATATATATAGTTGATCTAAGAAATTAAAGATGTCGTAATGTATTTTTTTATTTTTTTTTTTTAAGCGATAGAATTTCTCATTCAATATCAAAAGTTTAAACAGTACAAAGTTGGTGATCTGGGAGCTCCACTCTAGGTGGGCTAGATAATAACAACATCAACCTAACACACTGACAACCACCAACCTTCATACTACCAAGCTTCTTGCCATGACTAACATCCCCTAAACATCAATAGACAAAGAAAATACCTCATACAAAAGATCCTATACTTAAATCACTACACAATGCTCAACAGAATGAAAGAAAAAACAGTCTAAGGCGCCCAAAACAATTATTACATAAGACATAAGACCATCATATAAACTTAAAGATCAGGACCTGCATTTCTCCTGCTGTTCAGAAATCCTTGCCATTGTTGGAGAGCCATGTTGACCACCACATGAGCAGGTCTTCTGATTTGTTTAAACACCCATAAGTTACGACACTTCCATAGCCACCATAAAATGTATGTTGATAACTGAATTCGGGCTTCTGAAGTGTCATTTTGATCCAATTGACATATTTTCCACCACCAAGATTTGAAAGATTCCTTTTCAGCAGGTCCATTCCAATTGACAGATGCCAATTTCCATATCTCCTGTGCAAACCTGCAAAAGAAAAGGACATGTTTTAAAGATTCATAATTTTCTTCACACTGGGCACATATAGCATCCACCTTGACTCTTATTTTCTGCAAATGAACTCCCACTGGGAGGGCCCCATTACAACATCTTCATATAAAGTGTTTTACCCTAGCCATCACCTTTAAACTCCAACTCCTCTTCCTGACTTTGAGGTCTATAGCATAGTCTTGACTGCCTTGGGGTTTGCATTGTTTGAGAAATTTTTCTGTAATCAAGTATCTATAAGTAGAGTGCACTAAGAACAACCCCTTCTTATGAAGATTCCACTTCCACTCATCAGCCATGTTCGGGTCTAGGGTATCTATGGCTAAAATGGCATTATTCTACTCCTCAGAAAAAGACCTCTTCACCTTGTCCACATCCCAGCAGGTGCCCTCATAATTCATTAAGTCCCTCACCTTTTTAATGCCCCTATCTATCCCAGGTTAAAGTTGAACCTCTTGTCCTATCCTGGTAGGTACCCAGTGCTTGTCCCATATGTTTATATCACAGCCACTCCTCACCACTTGTGCATCCATTTGGAACACTTTTCCAAGAC